TCCAAGCCTGTAGCACTGCTGGGGCCTGTAGCTGTTGTTGTGGCCAAGGTACAGGATGTGGCATTTGGCCTTACTGAAACCCATGTGACTGGCCTTGGCCCAGTGATCCAGCTGTCCAAATCTCTCTGAAGAGCCTCTCTACCTTCCAGCAGACCGACACTTCCTCCCAGTTTTGTGTCATCTGCAAACTTATGAAGGGTGCACTCCATCCCCTCATCCAGGTAGTCGATAAAGATGTTAAACAGGAGTGGTCCCAGCACTGAGCCCTGGGGGACACCACTCGTGATCGGCCGCCAGCTGGATTTAACTCCATTGACCAACACTCTTTGGACCCGGCCATCCAATCAGTTCCTAATCCAGGCAAGAATATGCCCATCCAGGCCATGGGCAGCCACCTTTTCTAGGAGAATGCTGTGGGAAACTGTGTCAAATGCCTTGCTAAAGTCAAGTAGACAATATCCACAGCCTTTCCCAGTAAGCAGGTCACCCTGTCATAGAAGGAGATTAGATTAGTCAAACAGGACCTGTCCTTCGTAAACCCATACTGACTGGGCCTGAGGCCCTGGTTGTCCTGCATGTGCCTCGTCATACAGCTCAGGATGATCTGCTCCATCAACTTTCCCAGGACCAAAGTTAAACTGACAGGCCTGTAATTCCCTGGATCATCCTTCCTTCCCTTCTTATATATGGGGGTAAAATCAGCTGACTTCCAATCTGATGGGACCTCTCCAGACAGCCAGGACTGCTGATCAATGATGGAAGGTGTCTTGGAGAGTTTCCGCTGAACTCAGTACCTCCTTTTTAATACGTTGCCAAGCAGGTGCCCTCTAAATGTCTTGTAAGGGTAGAAAGGGGTTTGTTGTGCATTGTGATAGAATAAGACTCTTTACTTCCTTACTGACAACTGGACAACAACAGGACATGCTGTACATTCCCTTCACTGTGAAAACATTGCTTGTTGTTTAGACATTACATATAGTTTGTAGAGGCTGAGAAGAAAGAGAATGCAAAGGAAAATGTAAAGTATATACCTTTTTGTTTGTCAGAGATATTTTTATGGGATGGCTTGTTTTCCCAGGCCCTGAAGCTGAATGTTCATTAGCATATTCACAAAAATCAGCTAATATTCATGGCCTTCTTGATGAGTAGCTATTACCCTGTCCCCACATGAGGCAGGTAGAGTGCAGTGAGGAATGACTAACTGTTTCTTAGGACCTGATGACTTTGCTCTTCTCTGTTGGAGTAGTGTGGGTAAAAGTGTAGGTTTTCTATGTTGAGTAATTTTTTTTTTGTTTATTTGGACTCCAGATGGGAAAACTGTGTGATTGAAATGTCTTTTATGCTGAAGAATTATTATTGTTTAAAGAAAAAAGGTAAAAAAATTATGATGGCGTAACCCACAAAACAAAAGATACGCTATTAATGAGTTGGAAACAGTAGAACTTACCATTGCCTGGGATGTTGTCGGGGGAGGACATATATTTTTTTTCTGTGGAGATGCCATAAATAAGGAGTGCAGTGTACTGATTTATAACTGACTTTTTATTTTTCTTGCTGTAACACAGAGATGAAGAATTTTAGAAGAAACAAGATGCGAAGTAATTTTAATTTTATTTTATCTTCTCCAGTCATCTCAACTAGAACTCCACCTCCACCTTCACCATTGCCATTTCCAGCACAAGCTATTCTCCCTCCTGCCCCATCTAGCTACTTCTCTCATCCAACGATCAGATATCCTCCCCACCTGAATCCTCAGGATACACTGAAGAATTATGTACCTTCTTACGACCCGTCCAGCCCACAGACTAGCCAGGTACTGTAAAACAATGTGAACCCTCCAAAAGAAATCCTGTGAGGAATGTGTGTCTTCCAGGGCATCTAGACTGGTGTCTTACTGGTTCTGGTCTTGGAGCAAGCTGGGAGCTGGCATATAAGTGATCCAGCAACTTTTCCTTTTCGGCATGGTTGATTACATGGTGGTTGGTCATATCCACTTGCAGTTCGTCTGTCAAGCATAAGAGAAATACTTGTACTGAACGACCTGACAGCACTGGCGGGGCAGGTCCTAGTCCTGCACCCTCCTGCAGGAGGGGTGCCTGTGGGGATGAAGCTCCTGCTGCAGGATGGAGCAAGGAGTGTGCTGACACATACACATGCACGAATGCACATGCATGGACGTATGGGTACATTTATAGACTCAGTATAAGCGAACTCTGGGAGGGTAATGCTTGCTCCGTTTTGTAGGCACCTGACATTTCTTTGCGCAGATGCAATAACATTGCTTTAGTGAGCACAGTGCAGAGCCAAAAAATTGCTTTTCCTTCCTTTTCTAGAGAACATGCAGTAACAGGTGAGTTCCTGGCTGCTACTGATTCAGGCTTGTGTCTGATTTTGGAAATTGACATGGTCTTCATTAGCAAAGTAATTTGTGAAGGGCTGTGTGCAAAACTGCTTTCCCTGATAGTATCAGCACATAGCGCTAGCATGCGATCTGTGATAAACTACAGTTGAGACTTGGTCTGTCAATAGTTGGAATATTTCCAGTGTCAGTGTAATGTAATCTTTGCTGCTCAGGCTGTTATTTATTTTTGATGCCTTGTCTGAAACGCTCCTGTGGAGCCCCGTATCTTGTTCTTTAGGACGTTTTTTAGAAGAGCCTTGGGAACATAAACTGAAGAGACAGCGTTCAGGTTTTACTGCTCTTCGGGCTCCTTTGGAAGGACTGTCTTATCAGGGATGAAGCAGTTGCTGTCACAGCATTTTGTTTTGGGCTTTGTTTTGTTTAGTTTTACACCAATAATGACAGGCCTTTCACTGCGCATTTCAGGCACAACAGCAATAGAACTTGAGACTGAATCAAACTTTCTATTCTGAATAACAGATACAGGCCCTCTAAGCTGTTCAGAAGGTCATTGCAGTTATTGTCCCCAGGGCTAAGGCTCTAGTCTAGCTGCATGACTTTCTATGTATTTAAAAAAATGAAAAGTGGGCCCATAAAATCAAAATTTACCCTGAAGGGAGAAATCCTAACTATGTGGTTTTTTGTTGTTTACAATATTAATGCAAATTAAACCAAAAAGTGAAATGGAGTATGTTGGCTTTCGAATACAAATTGCTATCTGTGCATGGATTAAAAGTCTTTCAGTCCCATATAACATTTTTGCTGAGACTCAGCTGGGAATGTTGCATGCAGGACCTGATTTTAATTTGTGTAAAATTTCCATGAATAACAAAGTCTAATTAAGACATTCATTAAAAGTCCTTAATGTTAATTCAGTGCAGAAAATCTCAGAGTTCTATTGGATTTTTTTTTTAAACTGATGTCTTAATTAGGCACTATTAAGGGAAAAATTATGCAAATTAAAATCAGGCCCTTACTGTTATGCATTTCTTTAATTATTCAGTGCTTGTTTTACTTACATTTTGATTTCTTATATATTAAAAGAGCAGATTAGGTGATAATCTCTCTGGATTGTTCAATTCTACTCCGGATCATCACTGAAAAAACACCACATCTAAATGAAGTTTCTGACTTCTTTTCAGACAGTTGATAAACATGCTGTCTTGTGATTTTAACTTTAGGGAGTATATTCAATGAGCAGAAGAAACATTTTAACTCTTTGCCCAGCAAGGGTCCTGCTGTCCTTCCTTATCTATGGTTGTAAGATTAATCTTTAGACCTTAAAAGACAAAATTTTACTCTGATGATTTTTTTCATAGTAGCAAACTGAAACCCCTTCCTATTCTTGTATTGTGACACCACAGAGAATAACAGGTCAAACTGACCTCAATTTACTACATTTGCCACCTTTCATAACCTTTATATTAGGGTAATTTCATTTAGTGTTTGATTTAGTTCCTGAGAAGAGAGAATGGGGTTAAACAACACCAAGTATGGGATTCCAGGCATCTGCATCTGTTCCCCACAATTTATTACCTTTAATCACTGTTTAAATTTTATTCTTTAACATTCACCTTCAAGATATGCTATACATTAGAGGTGTTACATGCCCAGTTAAAATATCTCTGCATAGAACAGTTAAAGGATGGCTGTAGAAAAACTAAACCAGCAAGAATAATTTTTTTTTTCTTAGGAAAAGAAGCAGCCGTCTGTGAAGTTTCAGTGACAAAAGGGAATTGTTCTGGTACAATGGCATGCTTTAAGCCAAACCAGTTTTTCTTTTCTAAATAAAACATGAATTTTTATTAAAACAAATTCAATTATTATAAAATGCAAAACTGCATCTGTAGGAATACCACATCAAATTTAATTATACTTTTCCACCTCAAAACATACTCATTTGGATTTCAAAAGGAGAACTATGATGATAGTCTTAATTTCAGCTTTAGAAATAGAAAGGATGGATGCCCTGACAGCATTTACCTAAAATGAACTGTTCCTCCCCAACATCTTTCAGTAATACGCTAATTTAGATTGTTACGACAAGCAACTGAGATGCCTTGTACTCCCCACAGCAATTTTGAGATTAATTACATTACTGCTGCACTGATTATAGTGAAACAGTCATGCTATTCAATGGAATACTTTAAGTAAAATTAGTTTAAAGATATAGAGCTCCCATAGGTTTCCATGGTGGGAAGCAGTGGGCAATTTTCTTGACATAATGTTAAGTACTCCAAATTATGCGTGATGAACAGTCAGGAAGTTCAAACAAGCACTTTGGCTGCACTGAAAAATGATTCAACAATGGATGATCCTAAACAAAAGAAAGCCATGGCTGTTGACTTCATGCATATCTGCTTTATATCCCTTGTTCAATCTGGAGGATAAATAAACAAATGTACTGGACAGAAATGGACCTTTTTAGATACAGAGCTGGACTTGCTTCCAATGAGTAGTCTGAGAAGTTCCCAAGGTTCTGAGAACTGCTGTGATTTCCACTAATTAGGTAATTCTGCTGAGCTCTTTTTATTATATTTATTTCAATGCCTTTCTTCTTAGCTAGGCATATGTGCTACTAGATGAGATTCTGTGTGTGAGAAGGTATCCGTTTATGATGGCGTGATGGCATCTCCACAGTTAAACTGATAGTGCTTGCATACTGTAAGTTTCAGTAAAAACTAATTGATTGGTATGAGTCTAAGACAGCTATGGTGTTTATCCATTTACAGTGTACTGAAGTTTTCAAATCTACTACAATTTTTAAACATTTACTTCCTTTTTGAATGATTTCAGATGAGTAAATCTTTTGATCTTGGAAAATGTTGCCTCCTCTGTGTGTATGTACACATGTGCATCCACAAACACAGATCTGCACACACTTGAAATGCATTACTAATTGTGAATGTGTGAATCACTACAGAGTATCAAGATCAGTCTTTCAATGAGCCTGAACAAATAACCAAGCGCCACAATACTTGAGTGGCTGAAGTCAAAATCAAAAGCTCCAAACTTAATGCCCCGTGGAGTTAAATGGAATAATTTCCTGATGAAGGTGTGTTGAGTCACAGAAGAAAGGTTGGGAAGTGTGAAGAAGGAAACCATGGTAAACCAAACGCTTAAGGTGAATCCTGCTAATGGCATTAGTGACAAATTGTTTTTCGGACTGAACTAAGCTAACAGATGTAGACAGTCTTTCTAGTTCTTTGAGTTTGGATTATGAAGGGCACAACTTACAGGCAAACAAATAAATTTTTGTGATATTTTCAGTACCATGGTAAAATTGCCTCCAATTTGATGGTGTTAAATATTAGACCCTTTTCCTATTGTAATAAATGGCTTACACTTGTTACATATTACAGCCTGAGAGAACCTGTCTGCATACTGAGTGAAATTCCCTGAGCTGTTAAGACAAAATTTGTTGCAATATGGGCTAGTTTGCAGCTTTGTATTTTTAATGGTTTTGTCTTTGTCTGAAGGCAGAAAATCTGAACTGCTTGAGTAGAGCTGCTTCTGCGAGCTGGTGAGGCCACTTATTTTCCTCTGATAATTGGAAAGTTAAATTTTTTGTTCAACGGAAAATGGGCACACTCTTCAGGAATGC